GCAGGGCTCAACGCTCGCTGCGGCGATTAATCACCCGGCAAAATGCTTCTGACGTGCTGAAGAGGGAAAACGAGGAGCTGCATGGTTCTGCATCCTTCAGTGAACACACGTGCTATGTGTGTCACTGTTCTACAAACACAGTCAAAAGGTTCTAGGACAGTTTCTTCTTTTTAAATCTTAATTCAGGAAAATAAGTCTATTCATACAAGGCTACGAACTGAAGTCCAGTTCCTCAAATGTTTTTCAGTTTTGGGAAAAGAAAAAAAATATATAAAATTAATGTCAAAAAATACAAGATTTGAATATGGAAAATGTCCAGACAAAGGTGCAAATGTATAACTTGAAATTTAGCCTGACAACATGTCGAGAGGTATTTCCGAAACGTTCGTGAATTTGTCGTCCTCCATAACAATAATCAGGGCACAGTCTCTCACAGTCGAAGTCACGTGACCCGATGGAAGATGTTGACATCAGCTGAAATCGACTTCCTCTCTGACGGACAACTGTGACTTCCTGTCATCAAGTGTTCAGCTTTCGCACACTCGGTGATAACAGTGAGTTGATGTTTGTGTTTATACGTTGTATTGTTTTAAATGACTGCGTTGAAAGTCTTATTTCACTACATTTTACCTCTTCCTGATTCTACTCGTCTATTAATTTGACTAGTTTTACTAAACCTCCATTACCTAACCTACATCCATTCACCATATCAACTTGGTCTCCATTTCCTTTTACCCGTTCCATTGGCTCCACTGATGGTAAGCACTATGTTATTATTGCTTTTAACTCTTTTACTAGTTCAACCTTTTTTTACCGATTCCTTCAGTTCTGCTCATCATTTGCCTGTTTTTTTACTTCTCCTTTTGTATTTCCCTGTGCACATACTTGGTAGATTTGGTAAAAAAAAAAAAAAGTTTTCTCTTCTTTCTTTCTTCAATGACCACTGATTTTATCGGGTTAACAGGAATGTACTGCTACAAATGCTACAAAGGTCTACTCCAACCTATTCCAATGGGTATACACAGCAAATCAGGCAGAATAATTGATCACTGATTTTTCTTGTGTTACTCATCAGGTTGACTTTGATAATCCCACTGATGCCTTTTATTTTACTCGTTTTTTTTTGTTTTTTTTTAAGTATAAACACCATGCAACAAAACTTCCTGTTCTGTGTTAACAGGGAGAAAAGATGACGACAGCTCAGGAAGCCCTCCTGGAGACTTTGGAGGATTTGGGAGCCGAGGACTTTGAAAAGTTCAGGTGGTACCTGTGTCAGCAGGGGGCACTAGAAGGCTTCCAAAGGATCAAAAGGTGTCACTTGGAAAATGCAAGCCGAGAGAACACGGTGGATCACATGATTCAGACCTACTCTGAACACGCTGTCACTGTGGCCACAGTAGTTTTGGAGAAGATAGGAAGAAATGACATGGTGAAGACCTTATCAAAGACAAAGATAGGAACTAAAGGTAAATCTGTGAAGTGGACTTGGTTCACGTGGGGCAGTAGTTTAAAGATGTCAAAGAAAAGGGCGACATTTATGGCAGATCTTTAGCAAGCGATTCCAACATGAATACAAAATGCCCTGTTGATGTTGCAGTCTTTTTCACTGACTGTTTTTTATTCACGTTTCTTCATTGTCAATTCAGAAACCAGTGCCGCAACCTGTCGACGTGAACTAAAATCAAATCTACAGAAAAAGTTCCAGCGTCTGTTCGAGGGTGTGGATGGCAACCCTTCTAAAGCAGATCTACACAGACCTCTACATAACACAGGGCGGGTCCGGAGAGGTCAATAAGGAACATGAATCCCGACAGATCGAAAGAGCTTCCTGGAATTCGAACAGAACAGAAACAATCATCAGAAAAGAAGATATCTTTAAAGTTGTGCCTGGAAGAGATGGCGAAACTCGAACAGTGATGACAAACGGAGTGGCCGGCATTGGAAAAACAGTCCTTACACAGAAGTTCACCTTGGACTGGGCTGAAGATAAAGCCAACCATGACATGGATTTCATTTTTCCTTTCACTTTTAAGGAGCTGAACATGCTTTCGGAGAAGGAGTTTAGTTTGGTGGAACTGATCCATTATTTCTTTAGTGAAACCGAACGTGCAGGAATCAGCACATTTGAAAGCTATCGGGTCGTTCTCATCTTCGATGGTCTGGACGAGTGTCGACCTCCTCTAGACTTCAACAACACTGACTTTGTAACCGATCCAACAAAGTCCACCTCGGTCCACGTGTTACTGAAGAACCTGATCATGGGGAAACTGCTTCCTTCTGCTCACCTCTGGATCACCACAAGACCTGCAGCAGCCAATCAGATACCTCCTGCCTTTGTCGACATGGTAACAGAAATCAGAGGGTTTAACAACCTACAGAAAGAGGAGTACTTCCGAAAGAGGTTTCAGGATGAGGAGCAGGCGAGCAGGATCCTCTCTCACATCCAGTCATCGCAAAGCCTTTACATTATGTGCCACATCCCGGTCTTCTGTTGGATCACAGCCACAGTTTTAGAGGACATGTTGAAGACCACCGAGGGAGGAAAGTTGCCCACAACCCTGACTGAGATGTACATCCATTTTTTAGTAGTTCAAGCCAAAGTAAAGAAGGTCAAGTACGATGACGGAGTTGAGACAGATTCACACTGGAGTCCAGATAACAAGAAGATGATTGTATTACTGGGGAAACTGGCTTTTGAGCAGCTGCAGAAGGGGAACCTGATCTTTTATGAATCGGACCTAACTAAGTGTGGTATTGAAACCAGAACAGCGCTGTGGTACTCTGGAGTGTTTACACAGATCTTTAAAGAGGAAAAGGGCCTGTACCAGGACCCAGTGTTCTGCTTTGTCCATTTAAGTCTTCAGGAGTTTCTGGCAGCTCTTCATGTCCATCTGACCTTCATCACCTCTGACGTCAATTTAATGTCAAAATCAACGAAATGGACCAAACTGTTTAAATGTAACATCAAACACGTGCACAGGAGCGCCGTGGACAAGGCTTTGCAAAGTCCAAATGGACACCTGGACTTGCTCCTCCGATTTCTTCTTGGTCTTTCGCTGGAGGCCAATCAAAAGCTCTTACAGGGGCTGATCACAAACACACAAACAAGTGCGGAGAGCAATCAGAAAACAGTCGAGTACATCAAGAAGAAGATCAGCGAGGAGTCGTCCGCAGAGAGAAGCATCAACCTGTTTCACTGTCTGAATGAACTTAGAGACTGTTCTCTGGTGGAAGACGTTCAACAGTTCTTGAATGCAGGAAATCTTTCCACCAACGAACTAACTCCAGCGCAGTGGTCAGCGTTGGCGTTTATCTTGGTGTCATCCGGTAAAGATCTGAATGTGTTTGACCTGAAGAGGTACTCTCAGTCGGAGGAAGCTCTTCAGAGGCTGCTGCCAGTGGTCAAAGTGTCCAACAAAGCTCTGTAGGCTGAACAGTGAGACACGTTCTAGAGATCACAGAATGGTTCCATTTTCTTTCAACTTCACCTTTATTCCCTATCTAGGTTATCTCACTGTGGTCTCTCGGAGGGAAGCTGTAGAGCCTTGTCCTCAGTCATCAGCTCCCAGACCTCCAATCTGCAAGACTTAGACCTGAGTTACAACAATCTGCCGGATCCTGCAGTGGGACATCTGTCCGCTGGACTGGGGAGTCCTCAATGTGCTTTGAAGGCTTTAAGGTAAATACTTAAAAGATAAAAGTACAGATTGATCTAAGATGGATATTATCGAGCGCAATCTATTGACCTGTCAGCCTGAGAGGAAGGTAATAGTGCAGAGCAAACGTGCAACATGGTCAGGTGTTCCTCGTGCACGACTCAGGAATGGGTCTTGGTGTCGAAACGTGTTTTAAAAATGACCGTTGACATTTGGAAACATGTCCATTTCTGGTTTAAGGCTCGGAGGCTGCCATCTCTCAGAGAGCAGCTGTGCACTTCTGTCCTCAGTTCTCAGCTCCCCCACCTCTAGGCTGAGACAACTGGACCTCAGTCACAACGACCTACTGGACACAGGAGTGAGGCTGGTATCTGAAGGACTGAAAAGTCCACACTGTTCTCTGGAGACTCTCAGGTCAAATCTTTGTTTCCCAGTTGAATTTTCGTGCCTTTAGTTCTTATTAATAGAGATGTTCGATGTCGTCAAGAGTTCTTAAATCACGGGCTTTGTCGCATCTTAACTCCAGTCTGTCAGGTTGTCAAGTCACAGAAAATGGCTGCAGATTCCTAGCCGCAGCTTTGGCCTTTAATTACCACTTGACAGAGCTCGACCTGAGCTACAATCATCCAGGAGACTCGGCAGAAAAGCTTTTCCGGGATGGACTGATAATTCGGTAGTTTTCTCTTTTCATTTTCCCGCCTGCACATTGAACAGTGATCTGAACTCATCCACTCTCTTTCTTCCCTCCAGGTTGGACCACAGTGGAACGCACAGGTTAAAAACGTTTATCAGGAAATGTAAGTGTCAGTAAAGCAATTGAGCGAGTGACTTCTTTCTGATATCTGTCAGAAATGATTGAGTAAACTGCAGTTCTATCTTCTATCAGATTCGTGTGAACTGGAAGTAGATCCAAACACAGTGAACAGAACACTGAAGCTGTACGACAACAACAGGACGGTGGTGAAAATGAGTGCGCTTGCGTCGTATCCTGATCACCCTGACAGATTCCAACTGATTCCTCAGCTGTTGCTCAGACCTGCTCTTACTGGCCGACATTTCTGGGAGGTTAATTGGACAGAAGACGTTTTTATAGCACTGAGTTACAGAGGAATCGAAAGGAAAGGAAAAAGCATCGGTTGTGCGTTTGGATACAGCGACCAGTCATGGAGTCTCAAATGCGCCAGCGACAAAGGATATTCGGCCTATCACAATGGGAGAAAGACAATGATCACCGCGTCCACATACTCTCACAGAGTTGCAGTCTATGTGGACTGTCCTGCTGGGATTCTGTCCTACTACAGTGTCGACACTGATAACTCCCTGATCCACCTTCACACCTTTGACATTGCATTCACTGAGCCTGTTCATTTTGGGCTCTACGTTAAGTCTGGTATTGTCTCAGTGTGATCTTCAGGGGAGACAGTGTCTCGTGTTGTGCGAAAGACTTAAAGACAGCGCAGTGACAAGACTCCTTCTCAAATAGAGGGTGTAGAAACCGTTATCTCAGGAGACGGGATTTAGATCGTCATAAAAAGTCCTTGTAGTTAATATACTGACATTTTGGTCAGTGTTGATTGTTCTGGCCTGAATGAATATTAATTTTTGGAATTATTTTTGGGAAAAAAAGAAAATAATAGATATTAAGGAACTTCACATTCCGACAAGCACGAGACACCTATTTGACTGTCAACTACATGTGTTCTCTTCACTTACAGTACAGTTTTTTACATACAATAACAAACATAGCACACAAAACATTCCCGATAGAAGGGCCAAAATAAAAGGAACAAATGACAACGAGAGCAACGAGACACACGGCATTCATTCAAGCAATTATAATTTTGTGCAACTGTCCTTCGCTTTTAATCCTGACCTGCCTTAGTCCATCTTGTTCTTCTTTTTCCAGTTAGCCTACATTTGAGTTGCAGACAGAAAGAGAGGAAAATACAGGCAGGGGGCAGTGCCGTGCAGATGTAAATGTACTGTTCAGTAGTGCCTTCAGCCCTTGCTGAGTAATGGATTCGCGCGAGATGGCAAAAAAAAAAAAAATTATGAGCTCAAACGCAGACTTACACGGGTTCCAAATGGTGCCGACCTCTGAGGTTAAAATTTACATACCGGCCATGCATCAGTTTGATTTATCAGTCCTGCTGCACACTACTTGTTTTTGTTTATTTTTAATTATTCATTCATTTCATTCATTCATTTTTGATCTCCTGGGAGCAACATTTTACTCATACCCTGCTTCTTAATTGGTACAGTGAGGCAGGTGAAAGTTCGATTCCCAGTGGACCAACATTGACTGAACAAAAAAAAAAAAAAAAACACAAAAAACAAATTAGTGGCCTACATCATATAAATGTTTATTAATAATACTATAACTGCTCGAAAGCAATAATTCAACTCGCTGTAATAAAGCCAGCCACATGTTTGAACTGACGGGATTAGGTCAGGTGTCATTTTTTTTTTTTTTTTCCTGTGGATTTGTTTTTCTTACACTTTAAATGTTAGTGATGTAAAAAAAAAAAAAAAAAGTTTATTAAAGAGGAGAAGTAGAATTTTACGTGACATTTATTTTTTAATCCTATATATTTAAGTCTTTACCCTTATTAAAATTCAGATGTTAAGTATTAAAAACATGTTTTTTCCAATGTTATTAGCACTAATAATGGAGTTTTTTAGAGGGCTGGAACAGATACTTTTTTTTTTTTTTCTGTTATTTCTAATGGGAAAAAATGATTCGAGATACGAGCACCTCGAGTTACGAGCTCGGTCCTGAAACGGATTATATTTGTATCCTCAAGGTATTACTGTATACGTACATTCCCAGGGCACCAGGTGACACCAGTGAGACAAATGACAGAGGCACAGGTGATCAGAGTGTGATCACTCTGATTACCCCACTCAGCAGACAGCAGGAACAGGAACCAGACAGACCTACTAATTACATTGTTAATTAATGATGTAAATCATTTATTATTATTTTGTTGCTTTACTGTTGAAGAATATGTTAAGTGTCTTTCACATGCCGACATATATCCTCTGCTCCATTTCCACAAATCATTGGCGCATTCCTACTCTCCTGATAACTGTCACCAGCTTGTGCATTCATTCACGTCAGAGTTGTTTTTTCATATTATTTCTTTATTTTAAATGTGGCCAACTTCAATCCAACATGTGTTCAAATTAAAATGCGTTTGATCCACTATTAATTTATTCATCTGTTCACTGGTTGCTTTTAATTTTTCAGCTATGATCTCTGAAGCAGGTGTCTGTCATGAACACATCAAACACACTTTAAAGTGCGCAACATGACACAGACGCACACCAACACGCAAAACGCAAGTGTGTGTTCGGAATAGCAGGGATACGGGGCAAAACGTCAATGTCGGACTTTGTTCCTGAATATACATGATTGTAGCTTTAAAAACATTGAAAACAAAGTGAGAGAAAAACATTGAAATTTGGCCATGCTGTGTCTAAAGGGAAGGCTACGGGATGTTGTAAAAGGAGAGAAGAATTTGCCAAATATTTGCAGCAAACTAACTACAAAAAAAACAGAAATAGCCAAGAAAGAGGCTGACAAGAACAAAGGCAAGTACAACCAAAAAAAAAAAAAAAAACTCAGACTAAACGTAAGCTACAGTTAGAGGTGCGCCAATTGCACTTTTCTTTTGCCAATTCCCAATTTGGGTGACAATACCAATTTCTGTGGAATCTGATTTTTTTTTCACTTGAACGCGTTCACAAATAATTAGGGATGTAACGATGCATCATGAATCAATACAAATCTATACAAATGCGTGACAATTTGCATCAATTTAAAAAAAAAAAAAAAGAATCGCAATTAGGGACGTCCGATGATGTCAGCCAGACAATAATATCTGATATTAGCATAACTATGTAATATCTGTAAGCACCGTTAGCGGTTTTTCCTCTAATATTGAAAACCCGACAACGCAATGCCTGGGTTTTGCCACATGAGGTGTGCTCTAAAAATAGTTTAATGCCCCAGCATCAGACCAATCAGATGCCTCAGTGCTCTGAAGAACTTTCATTGAAACCCAATTGCAGTAACTCGTTCTAAACTCCTTTGTTGCTCTCAACCTAAAACATCATGTTACGTAATATTATGCTGAATGATAGTTAGCTAAACATACTTTCAGATGTATTCTGATAAATCTTTAGCAACCAATTCTCTTATGTTGGCTTAATTTTTCAATTCCCTACCTTTTAACTGTTTGTTCACATTTTAGCTTAAATCGCAGGGTTTGTGGCTAAATCTTATCTACTTGTACACCTTGAGAAAGTATTCTAAAATCTGAGCTAATTTTTTTTTTTTGCTTTGTTGGTGTAATATCAGAAATAAACCGAGGACAATCAGTGAGACGTTTTCTTTATCTTAATTTGGACAAATATCGTATCTTTTTATCAGAGAAAGGCTAATGAAGAAAGCACTGATCACGTGAAAGTCCAAACTTAAACCTCGGTGTTGACTTTGCCTCATGTTTGTTGAAAGAATTTGTCTGTGTGCAACTGTGGGAATAAATAAGCGTGTTCTTCATTAGCATGGTAGCAGCCTTCCCTCGTTCCCTGCTCTTCTCCCTCTGTGTTTCTATAGTAACCCTGGCTAAAATCCAAACAGCCAGCAGGGCCGTGTGAAGGGCACTGCACAGGCCAGATGAAAGATTTCCACCAGGCTGCGGCAGACTTCACTCCATGCACAAATGTGATGTTTGAACAGGAGGGTGTAGAGTCTGACCGACCAATGTTAGATTAGTTAATGGTAAGAAGAGTGAGACTGACCAATGTTAGATTAGTTAATGGTAAGACGCTTCTCTGTTGATTTGTATTAAACTCCAGGATGATCCATAATCTGAAGGCTGACACATACAGTCTATCATAGACGACAATGAACATGCAGCATCGCTGCAACAGTTATGGAATGGAACTTTGAGTTGCAGTGGTTGTGACGTCAATGGCACGAGGGAATCAATCTGGCTCCTTTCTTAAGGGTTTGCAACAATGAAAACGAGACGCTAATTGAGGGTGAAGAAGACAACAGCAACTGTACAAGGGTTGGAACACAGAATCTGATGAGGCCTAGTCTGGGGTGTAGATCAGATCACTGATTTGTCCCTGGTTTGTGTGCAGGTCTTCTGTCCAGGTGCTCAAGTTTCCTCCAACTGTAGATAGGTTGGAGGAAGTAATCAGGTGAAAGCCGGGTTTACTTTGGTAAGTTTAGACTAAACCATTAACACAATCCACAATACATTAACTTCTGCAGAGTGTGACCGCTGGGAAAGAAAAAATCTTGCACACAGAAATCACAAGGACATAGAGAAAAAAAAATGTGAAGCAGGGCAAATGCACTTGAACCACTTTTCCACAGTGTGGTCCTAATATATTATGTCAGGATAAAAATAAAGTTAAATGTGTTTTACAATTTACCATTATTAGGAAATTGGAATCAAACACGGAACAAGTATCAAGTTACAAACAACAATCAATTACCATCAAGGAATCGCCTTCCTGTAAGACTAATTATAAGATTAATTCTCAGATATAAAAAGATGGCACGCTGGACATCAGTGTACCACTGCTGCAATGCTTGAATGATAACAAGTCTCCAGTCACTAGGTGGCAGCAACTCAACAAGAAAATACATATTACCAGGTTCTCAATAATATTTCAATGTGGGGGGGGGGGGCTAAAAAAACAGATTTCACCCGTGGGGGGACATAATTGAGAACTACTGCTATGCGGAAACAGTGGGACTCTAAAGGTAAAGTACAATCTTGATAAGTATTGTGCAAATACTCTATTTTCTGGACTTTACGTCCCACTTTTTTTTTTTTCATCCTTTGGCTGGGTTTGCCACTTATACTCAGGTGCAACTTAAATTAAAATAGATACATGTTTGTTACACTCTAGGCTTGTGTACCAGTATCTGCTACTCCTTTTACATGTTAGTTATTTTCACATTGACAGCCGCTAGAGGGCACTCTAGCTGGCTGGTGTACCGTTTTTTTTTTCTTTATGCATTTTTTGGCTGGGCCAACTTACACTCCAGAGTGACTTGTAGTCCAGAAAATATGGTAATCACTATTGACCATGATTTACCTGAAGTTCAGTCGACCTGCAGTTGAAGCCTCCACAAGCTCATTCAGGGCAGTGGGATGGTATTTTAAGCTTGAGGTGCATTGGCGAAATGGAAACTTTTACCTGCAGTCTGTATAAATAACAACGTGTGCACCTACAGTGTGTTAGAGCAACAATAAATGAATGGACAGTGGAATTATTGGACATGGGGCTCCTCCTTCTACCCATACTTAAAATGCATTAGTTTGTTTCACAAATGAAAATTTGGATTAATGGATTAATTTTAACAGCCCTTATTAATATATTAATTCTTTACTAATAGATTCAGAGTTGTATACATCAGGGGTTAATTCCGTTTGGATTTGGTTTTAAATCCCAGTTACTTCAAAAGTTTGAGTACGGTTGTCAAACACCTCCTCCCCAATGCATCTTCTAAGGTTTCCATAGCCTCAGCAGGCCGTCCTCGCTGTAGGTGGCGATCAGGTTGTCATGCGGATGGTGAGTGATGCCAATGACATCTTTCTCATGAACCTGTAGATGCGACAATATTTCTCAAATGAAAAACAAGCATTTCCTTATAACCTCACGCCAAAGACAGAGAAGAGTCAAAGGTGGGACTTGTCTTTGGTAAAAAACTCAACTTTCCCAGCCAGAGGATTTTGCTCAAAATCTGGATCTTTTTATGTGTCGTTGACTTCGGCCGATGAAGCTGCAGCGGCAACAACGTGCAACCGAGTTTTCAAGCGCAGTGAGTGTCAGTGTTTCTGTTTGTATTCTAAAAGATTCATGAGCGCCACTTCCGCATGAATCATTCACCAAGGAAATGATTGTCGTAAACATGAAGTGCCATCTCTGCCACTGCGCGCTGAAAAATTCATGCTTTTTAAGTCATAAATTATGAGGAGCCCCTACTCTCTGTCTCTCTGTCTCCTTCTAAGGTTCCTTCTTATCAACCTGCCAGTCCCTGAGCGAGGATGCCAATATACATTAAAAAGAAGGTAAGCCGAAAGAAAATGGACACAGCA